AATGTCAGTACTGGGGAGGCTGAGGCAGGAAGATGCCCATGAATTCGAGGTCAGCCTGGGCTATACAGTGAGTTCCAGGCCAGCCTGAACTACAGAGGGAGATCCTGTCTCAAAAAACCAAAACGAAACAAACAAACAAAAAAGGTGGGCCAGATAGCTCAGTGCACTAAAGCAACTGCTTAGGTAGAGCGCAGGGGCTGCATGCTGTGCTGGCCGCCCCTGGGGTGCACTGAGACTGCTGTTGAGACTGGGCTTGATGGTGGCACCTGTAATCCCAGCGCCTGGGTGGCTGAAAACCAGATAATCACTATGAGTCTGATCTACGTAGTGAGACCATGTAGACCCTGTACAAAATACATAAACAAATGTATTAATTATTGTGACTGTCCTACTAACCTGTTTTGTAACTGTCTCTCATTGGTATTTCTTTCTCAATAAAATTATTTTTTAAAATACATAAAGAAGATGACATTAGCAGTCAATTATTTAGAGAGTGAGGTCTAGGGGAAGCAAAGCGAAAGAAATGCTGAAGACAAACTAACCCATTGATCTGGTCTATATAGGACTCCCCACTCTCCAGCCCCAAATCCACCACCTGGACTTTTCCCCCAGCGTTTCCAATAGCCCATCTCCAAGGCTCCTCCACCTCTTCCGTTCTTTTTCACCCCTTACTATGGTCACAGTCACGGGTGTCATTCTGATTTCCATGCTGCCCTCTGCTTTTACTCCCCACATTCCATCAGAGCCCATGCCTGGGTATTTCTACTTCCATCTCTCAATTCATCCCTCCAGCGACTCCCCCAACCTCGGGCCCTGGAGCCCACGTGTATCCACAGGCCTCCAGCGTCCTGTACACAGTCCTTGGAGTGCTTCCGTTGGGCCACCGCCGCCGAGTGTGCAGGAGGAGGTGAATGCACACTGCAGAGGGGGGCTTGGCGGCCCAGGATCCTGAGACCCTCATGTGCTTAAGGCCGTCTGGTCCAGAGCAGTTGCAAGGCTCTGGAGTGAGGTTCAGGGCGTGGAGCCCTGTCTCCCATCTTCCCACCCTGGGCCTGGCCAGGCAAGAGACGCTCAGCGGCGGCTCCTCCGTAGATGTCAGGGAAAGAGAGGCAGTCGCTTCTTTCTCTCCCTTAATACTCCGACGGCCTCTAACCAAGTTCGCCCCAAGTTTGTGAGCGGCCAGGTGGTGGTGGGGGCCGCGCGCAGGGGCGGCGGTGCGGTCAGAGGGTGGGGTCTGGCGCACGGGGCGGGCGCTCCGCCTGGCTGGTCGCTGCTGGCCCCGGATCAGGGATCCGATGTGGAATTTCCTGCCCGGCCCGG